ATTTTATCTCTTTTATAACTAATAAGTTAGCTCCTGAGCAAACTCAAACTCGTAGAATTAAGCTCGAGCATAAACTTAAACTTGACAAATTGATCAAGCTCAAGCTAAGGTGGGCTCGAGCTCGGCACGACTGATCATTTACACCCCTATACATTGGAGGCTAAGGAAGAGCTAATTAGACTAGCTTTTGTGAAGTAGAAATAAAGAGGTGTTCAATTAACAACATTTTAACTGTAAAGTAAATGCAAGGTTTTGAAATTAGGGTGTTTAGACAACTGCATTTCAAAAGCAAGTTAATTTTGGCTTGAATTTGAAATTCATCCATTTTGAATGTATTATAAATACACAATATCACGTCCCGAGATCTAAAGTGGAAGAATTTCATCTTTTTTCATTTATTCATTTATTGTTTTTCTTACAATTTAATTAATAGTTAATATTCATAATTTATAATCAGATCATCATCAATATAAGCTAACGAATTGCATGCAAGGAAATACAAAATAAATATAAACACTACAGGAAATTCAGCTATTATCGACGGTCTTATAGCCGCCGGTATTATATAAATCAGCAATTTAACCGACGGTTTTTAATAAACCGTCGCCGGAATTAGCGGCGGTTTAATAACCGCGGGCTGTGGCGTCGGTTTAACTTAATACCGGTGCCTGAAGCGGTGGCTAAGACCGCCTGTATTAAGTATTTAGTTTTCGGCGGTCTAAACCGCTGGAACACTGCCGGAAAAACACCTAAAATTACCCATCCCGAGCCTTCCTCCTCATTTCTTCGCATTTTCTCTCGTTGCTTCAGACGCTCGCCCCTTCTCGCGATCGCGCCTCATGCACAGGAATTCGGCGCGACATTCTCCCTTCGGCTGAAGATCTCGACCCCAAGCCAAACCGTTCTCCTCTCTGGTCTCCTTGAGTTGCACACCCCAAACTTCTTCTCCAGCCGTCAGACTCATCCACCTCCTCTACCCTAGTCGTCAGATCTCCTCTTTGCTATAGGTAAAATCCTTGTGTTCAAATACTAGGTAGTTTGACTAAGTATTTCCTTATTGCAATTGGATTACATGGCCTTAAGCCCCTATATTTTTTATTTTAATCATGAATGTTCTCACTAGACATTTTAAAAGGTTGTAACATGGTGTATGCTTTTTGTTGATGTATTCTTCTTGTTGATAAGGGTAGAGAGAGATTACTTGTGTTCAAATGATAACATTTGAGTGCATTTGCAATAGGTATTGATACGTTGTCAAAAAAATTATCTTGATCAGGCACGAATCTTGATGCAAAAATCAAGCCGGAAACTTCAAAGATTAAATCTGGGATCACCTGAACTCCGAATTTAGCAAACTTATAGTCAAACTGAGCGTCTCAAAAATAAGAACCTATCGACACTAAATTCAACTCAACCCTAGCCCAAATGAGTCCAAATTAAGGACCCGAAGCGCTGTTGGAAGCTTCGTACCACTGTTTGAGTTACCAAACGTTTTCCAAACTTGACGAGCTTATAGTCTAATCGAGCGGCTCGACGAGACAAATCCAGTGAGCCCAAGATCGTCTAATTCTGACATTATTAAGGCCTTCAAATGCCTGACGAACAATGCATGATCAAGGGATTCAATATCGACCGTATATCCACCCACTCCCCATTAATTTGCCCTTGATCTCTCACCTATTTATGGGTCATGCCACTCCAAAAATTCTATAAATAGACCCCTTATGTCTCTTGAGAGGAGGAGGGAAGCAAGAAGAGAAGAAGAGAAGAGAAGGAAGAAGCTCCTCGACCACCGCCGGAGTTTCGCCGGACCACCGTCGGAGTTTCGCCGCAGTTTCGCTAGACCACCGTCGGAGTTTTGCCGGACCACCACTTGAGGCCCTCACCTCCGTTGGACCACCGCCTAACGTCGTTACTCCGCCGGACCACTGCCTGACACTGTTGCTCCGTCGGACCACCACTTGAAGCCCTCACCTCCGCCGGACCACCACTTGAGGCCCTCACCTCCGCCGGACCACCGCCTGATGTCGTTGCTCCACCGAACCACCACTTGAGGCCCTCACCTTTGCCGGACCGCTGCTTGACGTCGTTGCTCCGCCGGACCACCACTTGAGGCTCTCACTTCCACCGAACCGCCACTTCAGGCCATGTGCTCCACTAGGACACCACCTGAGGCCCAGACTTCTGCTGGGCCACCACCTGACGCGCGAACTTCTTCCGGGCCACCACTTGACACCGAGAGTTCTCCCGAAGTACCGCCCTCCTACTACGATCTTTCTGACCCCGATCTCCTGCCGACTACGGTCCTTCCGACTTCCGTCGCCTACAATGGTCCTTCCAAACTCCATCATCAGACAAAAGTCTTTCTGATCCCTTTCTCCTGCCAACTATGGTCCTTCCGACCTACATCGCCAGACAACGGTCTTTCTGATCCCTGTCTCTTGCCAACTACGATCCTTCTGACCCCCGTCACCTACAATGGTCCTTCCGACCTCCATCACCAGACAACAGTCTTTCTGACCCCGGTCTCCTGCCGACTACTGTCATTCAAACTTACTTTGTCAGACAATGATCTTTCTGACCTCTGTCTCTTACCGACTATGGTCCTTCCGACCTCCATCACCGATAATGGCCCTTCCAACCAAATAAGTATGTCTATGTTGATTATTGTAACTCCCACCATGTAATGCGCTCTATATGACGTACATTTGTAACATCAAGCCAAGGCCTTCTCCCTAAGAAGAGCCTCATTTGTAATCAACTTCAAATTATAGTGGATTCATTCAAACTGTGTCAGGCCTCGTGGTTTTTCCCCCTTTTTTAGGGGTTTCCACGTAAAAACTCTGGTATCTCTTAAGAACGCTACACCCTCTCTTTTATCTGCTTGTGTGTTATATCTTCGTACAATGTTAAGACGTTAAACTATATATTTCTCTACCGCCGAGAATACTCCAGGACGCAACAGGTATGTATGTAGGAGTTATTGTTTGTGTTCAAATGCAAGGTAGTTTGACCAAATATTTCCTTATTTCAATTGGATTACATCAAAGATCAGCCTTAAGCCCATATCTTTTTTGTTTTAGTCATGAATGTTAGCAAGCTCATCTATGGGCATTTACATTCCTCTCCACTATCTCTGTATCTTGACGCCGCCGCCTCAGTGCCTTCTACGCTCCATGCATAGTAGAGAGAATATTTCATCTCAACCCCTCATCTCTAACAATTTGTATCTTCTTAATAGCTTATATACAACCACTTTGTAAATCTATGTTGATATATACAGCAATAGTTACAGTTCTCCACTGATTTCTCTCTTCTTACTCTCTATCTTCTACTCCTTCATTTTTTCCATTGCCACATCTTTCCATTTAAGACAGAACTTGCTACAGCTTTTTGAATTCATATTTGAGATTCAACCCTACAAAACGAAGGAGTAATAGCAACATAATAGACAATTCATTTTACACTTACAAGATTGGCTTTACTTATTGAACTATTAGAATAATAATCTAAATATTAATTTTCAACCTAAGATTAATATATTTTAGAGGTTTAAAACCCATATTCTTTGTGATAAATTTTTTTCATTTTTCGAACTAAAATTATTTAATTTAAGGCCTAAAGAAATTTGATTTCAATATATACATTAAAAAAAAAAATTTCTAAGACTTAGTAATATATTTTAAGCAATTAATATATTTAATGGATTAACAAAATTGGCTTCTTCAATTCCCACTTTCTGCTTCTCTCTATTTGCCATTTAATAAACAAGAGAGGTAATTTAGTCCAAAAGTTCATGTTATTTTTTAATTGAATGTGGTCCAAATTGTTGTATGTTTGTTATTCATGTTCTTTGGAGTCTTGTCTTTTCCTGCATGTTCGGATGAAGGCTCTTGCCTTTGGGTTTGATTGGCTTGGTTGCCATTTTCTGCCGCTGCCGATCGTGTTTGATATATGGTCATGTTGTTTCACTTTTACTGTCGTGGGCTTTTGCAGCTATTGATGTTATCTTGCTTGTTTCTTTTTGATGGTGTATTGAACCTCTTTAACCTTTGGTAGATTAGTTTTTTAGATGGAAGATAATATTGATCGCCTTTTTTTGAGTGATGGCTCGTGACAGCCCATGATTTTGCTTAGATTTTTCTTTTTTACTTTTACTTAGATGTGATTTTAGGCTTTAAGTTTTTTTTTTCTTTTTTATCGCTCTTCTGAGCATTATCGAACTAAAAACATTTTATCTCATTTTTCATTACCATCATACTTGTTAGAAAATTTTTTTGATAAGATTTTATTGTGAAATATTAAGTTTGTAAAAGAACTTATTTCTGAGATAAATCTACAAATATAATTAGTATAATTTTCTCATATATTTTTGGAAAAATATACAAGACATTTGTTATATATGTTTATTTCATCTAAGCTGCACATAAAATGACTGGAATATTAATGGCCAAACATAGAAGGCCTATGCAATTTTTTTAAAGAGATTTACATTTTTGAAAAAAAAATAATTATTACCATTAAAAATTATCACATTCTTGAATGTTGTGGAATGTCAATTGTATTTGTGAGCTTAATCTAAGTTAACAAATTTGTATGTAAAAATACAATCTAAAATTAAAAAAAAAAATCTATCCAATTTTCACTTGATCCTAACGTACGGCTTGTTTGGGACAACTATAATGTTTTATAAAATTGGTTGTGAAGTTGCTATGAGGAAATCAACTTAGTTACTATTGCTACAAAAAAATATCTTTTCATTCTAGAAATTTTAGAAAAGCGACGAGAAAGCAATATTTAGGCTTCGTTTGGGACAACTTTCTTTCTGCTTCTTAAAGTAGTTTTTTAGTAATCAAAACTAAAAAATTTTGTCACTAGAAAGCCGCTTTTTACTAAAAAGCTGCTTTAAGAAGCAGAAAGAAAGTCGTCCCAAACGAAACATTAAACGAAATTATGGTTGCTATCTAAAAAACAAAACAAAGAGAAAACAATCCCAAACAAACCCTTAAGCCATCATAATATTACTTACATATTAATTAAAACTGAATGAAATAGACCAGAAAATGTTAATTCTAAACTAAATAGTGTACAAATTAAGGAAACTGTCCTCTATTACCAACCAATATAAAAGCACATATCATCAAATCAAGACTAAAACGTCGTTTGGGACGGCTTTTTACTGCTTCTTAAAGCAGCTCTCTTAATTTTTGCCCTAAAAAGCTGCTTTAAGAAGCAATATGAAAACCGTCCCAATTGATCAAGCCTAAATCAGCAATTCATTACCCTCCAATACTCTTTAAAACTTCACTTAGCACACTTCTTGATCTGTTTACTTTGTGCATATATAGCATCATGAGCAATCAGCCTTGTTCTTTCCTTATAAGATTGGCTGCTAATGATGCTATATATATTCACAATTGTATCAAGCTCTAAATATCTCAAGGATGCTTATAATAATCTCCTACATCAATAGCTCCCACGTAGTGATGAAGCCCAATAATCTGCACCATTGTTGCTCTCAACGTGCACTGTGCAAGAAACTGGAACCAGGCACAGTCCCCTACTCCTCAGATCCTTCTTTTGTTCATCATTTCCATCCTGTAATAATGCAAGTGATTACACTACGATAAATCAGGCTTTTGCAGCACTTTTTAGGACATGCTACAGCGGTTTAAACACCTACAACCGACTTCCCAAAGCCGAATGCTGATCGCCTTGAGCTCTCGTACGAACAATGAGAGAGAGGGAGTGATCGAGAGCATGATAGAGAGGGATTGGGATGACGGGCTAGGGCGAGATCGGAGGCTAGGGCATCACAATACAACGGGGGAAATATATTTATCCTATAGCAGCAGCTTTTAAGATCGCCACTATTAATTGGCTGCTAAAGTTATGAATATTTGAGATATTTTAATAGCGATTAAAACTAATGTATATATCTATCTATAACAACAGTTTATAAACTACCGCTATGAACTGCTGAGAAAACGTCATGTTTTTATAGTGTTAATATGTTATATATATGATATGAGAAATATTATATAGTCCAAAATTGTTAGTTTGAATTTAGTTGTTTGACTCCTTTATATGTTACATATGTTTAATGATATATATTATTTATATTTATGTTATCACTTATCAGCATTACTAAGAATATTACTTTATTTAAATTATTTTGATTAATTTTAATAATATTTACATCATCATGATTGAACTTCTAGTAATCTAGTAAGATTCATGTTGAACCTTTGAATCTTGATTCTTTCCTTCCGGCGGTTTAATGTTCGATCCGGATCTAAAAACTTTGATGATTGCTCATTATAATAATGATTTATGTGACACTATCCACATACATTGTGGTCAACTTAGGCTTCGTTTGGAATAGCATTCGGTCATTATTTTTCGTTGCTTTCAATAAATTTTTTAACTGAAAAATATTGCTAAAAACAATAAAAAAGCTGTCCCAAACAAAGACTTAGATATCCATTTCATAATATTTAATCAGGAAGCAAAAGGAAGCAATTATTAGCACATGAAGATGCAATTCTTTTAAATTTTGTGGCCTTCACTGAAGAGTCCCTAATCGCTGTAAAGTGATTTTGGTGCCTTTCTGCTTTAAAGAAAGCCCTAAAAGAAGTATAGGAGTGCTAAAAATTTTTTAAAAAGAATTTTAACCTATTTCCAGATCTTTTTTCAAAAAAGTATGACATAAAATCAAAATTTATCAAAATTTTTCATAAAGTGTGCAAAAAAGCAAACCCTTTGGTAAAAAATCTAAAATGTTTCCAAACTTTTTATTACACTGATAATAATTATATTTTATTAAAAATAAAGCAGGAATGATAAAAAAAAAAAAGTTTAGCTAAAAGGTTTCTCTTAGCAAATCTTTTACAAAATGTAATAAAATTTTTATGACATGCATAATAATAACGCTTTATTAAAAATTGCACCTAACAAAAGTATTTAGAGTCCTAATTGTTGAAAATAATATGAATAAAGATTAGTTTTTTAAAAAAATTTAGTAAAATAATAAGAATGTCTACTGCACATAACTTTCATTGGCAAAGCAATTTATGTAAAGTCGATGTTATAGGCTATCTTTTACGAGAAATTATTTTGTATGGACACCGAAATGTTCCGAGGCGAATTAGAGCATGCCACGTCACCTGGTATACAGCGGGTACACAGCCGCAGTACACAACAAAGGGGTACGTGATGTAGTGAGCTCTAATTAGACCCGGAACAGTGTCCATATCCGCACATAATAATTTCACCTTTTTGACTAGCCAATTGGAGAAAAAAAAGACAAACAAATGATCTATTTGCGACAGTTGTAGATTTTTATTAAGTTTGATGTGAAGTTGTTATGGTAGCTACTCTGCAGTAAACAACAGTTTTTCACAATAGAAAATTTTGAAAATTAGTGAAAAAACTACAAGAAAGTGCATAGTAGACAAACAAAATTATGATAGCTATCTGAAAAGCGAATTAAGCAACGAGAAAATTATCCCAAACCAATCCTAAGATTCTTAAGCATTCTCCTCTTCTTTCTAAAGCCATATGGAGCCAATACTTGACCAAGACATTCTTAAAATGCTAATAAATTTTCATACTTAAAACAAATTAAGTACATTAAAATTTGAAATTGTTATTTTTAGGCATCATGATTTCAACATTCAATATCTACATCTAATTATTATTTTTTAATTTTAAAAAAATCACATAAATATTCAAACAATCATTAACTTTTATATGTTAATTTATTTGAGGAGTTTATGATTAATTACTCTTTAAATACATATCACCTTTCTCCATCTTGCTAGATACTAAAATACATGCAACTAAGGCTTCTCTTAATGTTTCTTAAAGCAGCTTTCTAGTACAAAAATTAAAATGTTTCTACTTGAAAATTACTTCAAGAAGCAATAAAAAGTAGGGACAAACAAAATCTAAGGCTTCATTTGGGATGGCTTTCTTACTGCTTCTTAAAACAGTTTTCTAGTGCAAACCGAAGCCTAAGATTTTGTTTGGGATGACTTTCTTTTTGCTTCTTAAAACAGCTTTCTAGTATAAATTTTTTTATTATTGTACTAAAAAGCTGCTTTACGAAGCAGTAATAAAGTTGTCCCAAACGAAACCTAAGTTTCATTAATTACCATATCTGATAACTAATAACACTATTGTATCGATCTGTATGCCTTATGCACATTTATTCACAACTTGCCAACTAAATTTCTTGCCCAAACAAAAAAAAATAGAGAAAAAAAGTAAGAGAGAGTGAAAAGGATTTGAGCTTAATGATTATTGGAGAATTATGATTCAGAGCCATATACTTTAAGATTTATCTCTCAACATTTTATATGAGAGGGAGAGAGAGTGAGAGGAACTTACAGGCTGCCTCATGTTGCCTGATCCTCTTGCCAAGTACGGGGAGCTGAGAGCCTACAAAAATAGACGAAAAAAGTGATGGAATGCAGTGTAAAGAAGCATAGGATAATAATATCTATAAAACATGACAACACTAGACAACAAAAAAACAAAACAAAAAAAAAAGATGCCACATGAATCAAAACATAAATCTGTGCCCATCCCATAACTTTAATTGCGTGCTCTGAAATCAATCTAGCTAGCCTCCTTTTCTTTCACTTCAGCTTTCAGAAACACCATACTTTAAAAGTAGAGAGAAAGAGAGAGAAAGAGAGAGAAAGAGAGTACTTGGTACTTGTTGTGTTCTCTTTGAATATGTGAGTTCCATGTTCCTGTAGTATTAATGGTGTTTTAACTGTGGGATTTTCTTTGTCATTTTCAAAATATGATCACAATGAACTCAACTCTATCCACATTTATATCTTTACTTGACGAAAGAAACCTCTCTAATGAAGAAATTACAGTAATATATTATAGGTTACAATCTTCCTACAGGCTGATCTTCGCACTAACTATTGATCATTAGGTTCATGTTAAAGATTATTAGCAGAAGAACATTTGAAAAAGAGAGAGAGAGAGAGGGGGGTGGGGGTGTTGGACGACCTCAATTTGACTCTGAAGGAATCTAATGTAGCCGAAGGCTTCAAGCAGTACAGAAGCTGTGTCAGTCTGCAAAAGGAGGTAGCCCAAGTCAGATTTCTTTATTCTTGAATAGGAAATGGAAATGTAGAAGAAGGTAGATATAGAATAATTAATCAAATATGAACATATAAGTGAAAGTACGGTTAAATGTGTAAATGCTGAAGGTTAATTTCATTAATTAGTAAAGTAAATTTGTAACAGTGTAGATACTGTGAGTCTAGAGTTGCTTTTACGAGAAATTTTCTGTGCGGATATCGGATATAGAATGATGTCCGGAGACCAACCATAATGCGTCACGCCAGCAATACCGAGCCGTGGTATCTAGCAAGGGATGACATTACATATTCTGATTGAACTCCGAACGACGTTCAACATCCGTATAGAATAATTAATATGCTTTTACACATCTAGAAAAACACTTAAAAAAGTATTGCTCACAGCCTCACACCTTTCCAAATGGGGAAACCAATTGGTGAAGGGCTGTTATTCTATCCCCTAGCTTTTCCTTCCTAACCTGTGAAAGCAAAAATAAACATTTTTTACTGAGAGGCAAAAACCAATATAGAAAAATAATAAAGAAGAGCTATATATACATATATTTCAAAGAATCAAAGTAAAAGAAACGATTTGTTCTTAATGACAAAAAATATTAGTATTATTATTATTTTCTTAGCGTTTGTGTTGAGTGATTAATATGGCTGAATCTGTAAGAAAATTGGATTCAATATCAGTTATCCAGCAACAGTTCTATAATTATTAAGATGACTGTAGTGTAGAGGATCACCAAAAAAAAATAAAATCCAGTCATCATCGAAGGACAGGAAATTTAATAAATATAGAAATTTTATAAAAATTACAATTCAGTCAAAATTTTGTGTTGAGAAAAATAATAATTTTGATTATTATCTTAAACCGCAATAAATTATCTTAAATTATAGTTATAAACGGCTTCTAACTTTTGTCAGCACTCATAAAATAGAGAAGGGAGTGTAGACTTCAAGAATTAGAAACCTTTAAAGTACTTGGCTGTGATAATGAGGACCCTTGAATCCTTGCCTTCTTCAAAACTCCTCCATTTTCTGTGCTATTGCTCTTCAGAATCCAAAGAATATTAATGATTCAGAATGATAACTATATTAAACTCAGCTTTCTTAAGAGATTAAGATGTTTAATCCTCTCTTTAATCTATCTAACCTCTGAAAAGTGATCAGTTAGTTGATGCTTTCTGTCTGTCTTTTTGTTAGAGAAGTTCAGCATATTTCTGCTGAAGCTTGAAGTATCACAAGATCTAGGAGATACTGTTACAATCGGACCCCAAGAGCTTGAGCTTACATGGCTGAAGGCATAACCAGAATCTTCAGAGTTCTCTTGCTTCAGATCTTGAACTTGAGCTCCTTGTGAATGGTAAATCAGCTGATTCTCTAAATTCTCCATTTTTTTGGTTTGAAAAGGAGTGCTTAAACTATACCTTTCCTCTTGAGTAGCTAGTCCTCCCCTGCAAGATGATAATTATCAATTAATTATATTAAATAAATCTAAGTTTATTCCTTCTGTCAGAGGAAATGCTTAAAATAAGTAAAAATTTATGGTGGCTAATCAGCTCTTCTTTTTTGAAGAGAATACACCAAAACAAATTCATTAAAAACGTATAGAGGGAAAGCCACAGTGAGACTATATATGAACTCTTTTCTTTTTCTGTTTCTCTATTTTGTATCTATGAAAGTATCATGAATATTTATTTTACTAGTTCAATTTAAACTTCCCCATGAACTAATTACCTAAAACTAGAGATCACACGTAGGTAAGATTTAGTCTGATCAAGTAATAGCTTTGTTTGATCAATTAAGAAAACCAGTAATATATTTTTTCTTCTCGAGAGTAGGAGCATATTAATTCCATTAACTTGCACCAATTCATAATCTACTAAGAGAAGAAATATCCATATAACATCTAGTAGAAGCTAAATAAAGAAACAAATAAACAATCACTATATATATATAGTGAGAGAGAGAGAGAGAGAGAGAGAGAGAGAGATTACATGAGCGCTTGACTCCATGTTTGTGGAAGCTCAGGATCTTCACAACAAGAGCTCATAGGAATATAATTAGAAAGCTCATGAGGCTGCTGTGAGAAGGCTAAGGAGGGAGGAAGAGGACACTGAAGAAGTGGAGAGGCCTCATCAGACGAAGTTCTCCTCAAATTGCTCATGCTCCACCAAGTAGGACACCCTCCCATCATCTGCTGCACCTAAGAACTCTCAAATATACCTCTATTCCACCCTAAGGCCTCCCTTTCTTCCTCTCTCTCTCTTTCTCTCTCTATTTTTCTTCCATCTATTCTTGTTGTTTTTCTTTCTTTCCTACCACTCTTAGATCAGTCTTTGAAGGTATTGCTTCCTTTGCTTCTGTGGCTGTGGTATGGGGGAGAAGACAAAGCTTTAGAGGCAAAGGACTAGTTTACAAGAGGAGTGAGAGTCCTTTACTTTTGTCTCCTTTCCCTTCCTCTCCTTCTTTAATATTTTTTCGGTTCCTCTTTATATTTTTCTCTCCATTGCTTTTCATTTCTTTTTTATTTTTTGTTTTTTATCTCCCCTTTTGCTTTATGAGAAAGCATGGCAAGAAAGTTGATGGCAGTGTTTTCAGACCAAAAGGAGTGTTTTGTGGATGTGCTAAGTAGTAATTAATTTGGTTGGAAGTTACTAGCTAATAAGCTATGACTAGCATGGAGGTTAATTCCACCAGGGTATAATTGTTTATTTGGTGGATGGTGGCACTTATTGTTTGGGAGGATATATCCAAATTTGAGATTAAAGTTGGGTCTCATATCAACTTTCTTTTTCAATTCAAATGCAAATTAGTGAGAGGGTCAATTGCTTTCTTTTTACACCAATATACTTTTCATCCATATGATGAGAAATTAAAGTTTCGGTTGAGATAACTTTCGTATTGCTTTCTGAATTAGTTGCTTTTTAATACAAAATGTTTTAGTTCAAAATTTTTTTGTATTCATGAAAAGATGTTTTAGAAAGCAGGTAGAAAGTTGTCCCAAAAGAAACCTAAATATAATATTATGAGGTTTCTTAGTAATCTCTTCTATATAAGAGATCTTCACACCTATGATTACATCTCTTCAAATAGAAGTTTTTCAACATGAACTCAAGTATTTGATAGAATTTTTATGCGGAAGAAAGTACTTGTATTCATATTAAAATTATTCGCTCTTTATTTTGAAATGTATAAAATGGTCAATTCTAAGGCCTATTTCTACTTATACGTGAAGGTTTCTAGCTAAATGCAACTTATGGCTACTTCATACTATCTAATTTATTCTAGATATTTCTAGAATATTTCCATTTATAATTTTCTAGCAAATGAAGGATTAATCTTCCTTCGTTTGGGGCGGCTTTCTTAATACTTTCTAAAGTAGCTTTCTAGTAAAAAAAAATATAGCTAAAAAATTTTTATACTGAAAAGTTGTTTTAGAAGGCAATAAAAAAGTTGTCCCACACGAAATATTGCTCTAAAGATTTCTACAATAATATTCATATAAAATTTTTGTATACTCAAAAGATATTGACTTATTAATTTTGGTTTATATTTTAAATTCTCTCCTTTAAATTAAAAAAAAAAAAACTACTTCATTGATTATATTAAGATTTGTCTTCCATTTTATGAATTGCTCAAGCAAAAGTATCTGCAAGTTCATCTCCAGTTTTCACATTCGCTATTCAAATTTCTTTTCTCCTCGAGCTGATTTTTTACGTTTTAATAATGAACACTAATATGCAAGCTTATTTTATGATTCACTGGATTCTTCGCTAGTTTGGTTGTTGACTTATTATTTATATAGACTTGTGTAGCTTCGATCACTCGGAGAATGTTAAATCTCATATATTAGCTTCCTTAGCTATATTTATTCACTACAGGAAAAACACCGAAATCAGGCGGTTTTTTCCGACGGTTACTCTATATTAACCGGCGGTTTTTTGCCTTACCGGCGGCTTTACGGCGGTTTTCTGACCGCCGAAAAAAATCGCGTAGGAAACTTGTATCGGTGGTTTTTTACCGGCGGTTTTCCGGCGGCTTACACCGCCGGTTACAACCAGATTTTGAATCGGCAGTTTATCGGCCGTGACGCCGGTGGTTATTTGACCGACGGCTTACCGGCGGTCAATATACCGACGGTTCTCCGGCGGTTTAGTTGGGCGTCGTTTGTTTTTGAAACCGCCGGTAGACCGCCGATCTTTTACCGGCGAACGCCGGCGGTTCAACCCATTGGTACAACCGACGATCTAAACCGCCGGTGACCGTCGGTAGCCGCCGAAATTGCCTCTAACCTAGGTTAGAGTTGTTTATCATAGCAAGCAAATCTAACACTAAATGGCTTATAATAAATGTCACAATCAACAATTTTGATCTACCCTAAAAAAAATTTAGATCTACCAAAATTATTACAACATTACCTCTTGCATTACTATCTAAATCATCCAAAATAACTCTAACACTTGCTTATGTCTAGTGAGAAAAAATAATCAAAGAAAAAATATAAAATATACCTTAAAATAGGAATCTAGGGTGAAAAATTGAAGTCGGCGGTCGGTTTGGGGTCGGACTGGGTCAGCGAGGTCGGACGTCGGAGTGCCAGTCGGATCTGGGTCGGCGGAAAGAGAAGTTTCGTCGGCGGCGATCGGAGAACCTTCGTCGGTCGCATTCGGACGAGCGGAGGCGAGCGGAGGCGAGGGAAACGAGAGAGAAAGAACGAGAAAGAATGAAATGTGAGTTGCGGGCCTGGTCGTTTTAGGGCACTAACCAGCGGTTTTTCGGCTGTCCAAACCGCCGGTACAAAATTACTTATCAACGGCGGTCCAGGACGCCGTTAAACCGCCGGTTAATATTAGAATCCGGCGGTTTGCCGGCGGTTTTTTGACCGCCGTTAATACCGGCGGTTTAACGTATAAAAAATACCGGCAGACCGCCGTTAAAAGACGGCGGTTTAACCGCCGATAACACCGGCGGTACATAAACCGCCGGTTGGAACCGCCGGTAATAGCCATTTTTCCTGTAGTGATTGACATACACAAGATGAATCAATAAATTTAACCTAACAAGCAGACAAGGAAATTATTTATTACTTCTTTGAATAAAAAAAAAATACAAAATCACTTGTGCATTTTCTATTATCTTGATCTCTAGGCCACTTATTTCAAATATCTTACATTCTTATTAAAATTTTGATTGCTTGGATCAATCATCTTACTTTCATCTTTTTAAACTAATTTGCAATTCTACATCTTAAGTTTCATGAGAGCCTCCTTTACATAGACTTCTTATGAAATAGAGATATCTTCATTACTTCGCTTCACTTTTATCGCAAGAAAATATGAAATAAGTCTCTCAATTCAAATTTTTGCATATGGTTTGATTGAATTCTTTGAATATAAGTGGTTTATAACTTGTAAAGATAAGATAAACTACATAAAAGGAAAAAAAAAAGTGATATTAATTTTTATGCATCTTCATATGAGCATTAAATATACTCAATTTGCTTGACGTATGGATCACTACTCTTTGCATTCCATGCTCTTGGTTTTTGCTTTAGGTCATATAAAGCATTTTCATTTTTTAATTTATAATGTTTTGACTCATGACCCTTTTTAATATATCTCTTAGGTCACTCGATATATATTTTTTATTTAATAGATCTATTTAATTAAGAAGGCATAATTAACATCGATATATATATAAATTTCTCCCTTTGCCTTCTTTTTAATTTAGTACACTTAATTTACATAAAAAAATATTTATCCTTTAGATCTAACGTCGGTGACCGTCAACAGAGCTCTCGCCGGCGATGAAGGCTATGATCGTCGGCGACGTCCGGTGACCATCAACAGAGCTCGGCGACCTCGATCTACGGTGAGCGACGGTGGGCGACGAGGGAAACAGCAGAGATGCGAGAGAAATGAACGAATGAAATGAGAAGCCAGAGGGGCTCGGGTTCGGAAATAGGGCTTTCGCCGGCAGATTTTCCGGCGTCCAAGACGCCGGAAAAATTTTCGGCACATTTTGCACCGGTTTTAAGTCGTTGAGTTTAAAACCGTCGTCTTATTATCCACCAGTAAATGCGCCGGACGATTTCCTCCGTAAAGTGCGTCGAAACCAGTAAAATACTGGTATATTCCGACGTTTAGACCGGCGCATTAGACGTCTGAAATTTTCCGGCGTACCATGCGCCGGAAAAACGCCGTAAACTTTCCTTTCTCACTATGCGCCGGTACAAACGCCGTATTTACCGACGCAAATTAATCCGCCGGAAAATCCGTCGGTAATCGCGTGTTTTCCCATAGTGAGATGGAATTGTGAGCTCATATGCGACCTCTGATATGCTAATCATTGATACGCAACTCAAATACGCTCGCAGCCAACTCTCCACTACTCTATGCAGTATAACTCCAATATCCACTACTACAGCCGATATTCCCTTCTGTCAATACCTACATCAAAAACAACTCATAACTACTCTGTTATATATATATCTCTAATATAAAGGTAATATGTGTGTGGAATGAAATGAAATGAAATTATTACTTATCTTCTCAAATTAAATGCTATGTTTAGCTTTTCTTCATGGTATCAGAGCCACATAGCCCAACGACATTGCTCTTCAACTTCAACGGTCCATGACATAATCTTCCAGCAACTCCAATACAGCCACAACTATCTCCCAAAATCCACTTACCACCATGTTCGAGTCCTCTATACCTTATTCTATCAATTTTTTCATGTTCATTTTCAAAAGCAATGTTCATGTTCAGCTCTATAGCGACAACTACCTTATATGGCAGCTTCAAATACTCAAGATGTTTATTGCGAACAACTTTGATGAATTCCTCGACGGCACTTTCTATTGTCCACCCAAACTCTTGTCCTCCAACAACAATAAACTACTACCAAACCCAACTTACAACAACTATATTATGCTTGACCAAAACCTTTCAGCCGCCCTCTACTCCACCATCTTCACCTTGATTCTACTATACATACATCCTAAATCTTCAAACCTGCAATGAAATTTGGATAATATTGGAGAAACACCTACAACCCACTAATCGCTTATAGGTCATCCAGCTCAAAAATGAGATTAATCATAACATCTCTATGAAGAAACTCGCTATGTCTCAATACCTCTCAACCTCAAATCACTCGTCGACAACATCTTACCAGCCGGCTCACACATTGATTGGGAAGACATCATACTATACACCCTCAATGGCCTATTACATCCCTACCAATCCTTCAAAACTGTCATTCACACCAAACTAACCCCCATCTCTCTTGATGAATTTTATTCTCTACTTTCCAGTGAAGAGATAAATATTACATTAGAAAATCTCAAGCTATCTGCACATGATTCCTCTTCCATCACACTCACAGCAACCAGAGGAAAAAGGTCCCATTTCTAGTGTGGGTGAAACACTCAAACTCACAATCAATCAGCT